TCATTGATCTTCTGCACGACCTCACAAGGTCCAATCTTCCGATCTTTAAGCTTATTATACTCACCAACAGGAAAACGATCACGAGTTAATACAGCCCAAACAAAATCACCAACATCAAAAAGTACCTGACGACGATGATTGTCGACCCGAGTCTTGTACTTGGTATTGCTCTCATGAATGGTCTGTTTCACCTGCTCATGGATACCCCGAAGATACTTTTCCATCTCATCTGCTTTAGGACTGAAACGTCCTATACGTGGAATAGGGGCTAAGTCCAACACCCTGATGGGTTCTGACCATAGACAATCTCAAATGGGCTTAAACCTGTGGTTCTGTTTTTGATATGTTGTAGGCAAATTCTGCCTGAGGCAATGCCAAATCCCACTGCTTCGGCTTCGTTCCTGCCAAACACCTTAAAAGGTTTCCCAAACTTTGGTTCACCACCTCAGTCTGGCCATCCGTCTGGGGGTGGTAGGCGCTACTGAAATTCAACTGTGTTCCCAGTTTCCCCCACAGGTTCTTCCAGAAATGACTGATGAACTTAGTATCACGATCTGAAGTGATTGATCGAGGACACCATGTAAACGCACAATCTCCTTGAAATAGAGATGGGCAATCCGGTCAGCATCCATAGTCTTTCTGCAAGCTACAAAATGAGTCATCTTGGAAAACCTGTCAACCACAAAAAAGATAGAATCAGAGGCCCTTTGGGTGCGGGGTAAGCCTAGTACAAAATCCATGCTGACATCGAACCAAGGAGCTTCAGGAACAGGTAAGGGAGTGTACAATCCCGCATTGGTGAGAACTCCCTTAGACCGCTGGCACACATAACAACGGTCTACATAATGGGCCACATCACTAGTCAACTTGGGCCAATAAAATTCAGAAGAGATAAGGGCCAATGTCTTATCTCAGGGAGTTCACTTATAATTTGCTGCCTCAATGAACAATCTGGAATGCACAATTGTAATCCACGAAACAGATACCCATTATGCAAAACAAAATCATGACGGTGACCCTCAGTTACCTCCTGAAATATCCTTCCAAAGGAAGGATCAGCTGCATACATATATGTGAACGTCTCAAATCCTGCAACTTTAGTACTCATGGTGAGAAGTAAGGTACGACGGCTCAGGGCATCTGCGACGCGGTTCAAACTCCCTGCTTGGTGCCTCAGCGTAAAAGTGAATTCTTGCAAGTATGCTACCCACTTGGCATGACGTCTACTCAGCTTGTGTTGGCCATTGATGTACTTCAAGGCCTCATGATCGGTAAACAGAATAAACTCCTTATGTACTAGGTAGTGACGCCAATGCTTCAGGGACTGAATGGCATAGAACTCCAGATCATAAGTGGAATAATTTTTCTTTGATCCCGATAGCTTCTCACTGAAAAAAGCAACCGGACGACCTGCCTGACTCAGAACACCACCAATGCCAACGCCAGATGCATCACAATTTACCTCGAACACTTTGTCAAAATCTGGAAGTGCCAAAATTGGAGCCTCGGTCATCTTCTGCTTGACCAGTTGAAACTGGCCTCTGCCTCCTCAGACCACTGGAAATCACGCCCCTTGAGGCACTCTGTGATAGGGGCGATCAGAGTACTGAAATTTATAATGAATCGACGTAAAAAGACGCCAAGCCATGGAAACTTCGGATGTCATGTAAGGTTCTTGGTCTGGGCCACTCCAAGACTGCATCTATCTTTGACTGATCTGCATGAACACCATCAGTAGACACAACAAAACCAGAAAAGTCACAGAGTAGTGAAGAAAGAACACTTCTTTTGATTGACAAACAAGCACTCCGTTTTCAGCATCTCAAAAACAACACGGAGGTGATCGAAGTGTGAAGTCCATGTCGGACTATAAACGAGGATATCATCGAAGTAAACTACAACAAATTTCCCCATAAAAGGCCGCAAGACCTGATGCATAAATCTCATGAATGTACTGGGCGCATTGGATAACCCAAAAGGCATGACCATCCACTCATACAACCCTTGTGGCGTTTTAAACGCCGTCTTCCACTCATCTCCAGGCCTTATTCTGATTTGGTGGTAATCGCTCTTAAGGTCAATTTTGAGAAGATCTTAGAACCATATAGCTGATCCAACATATCATCTAGACGGGGAATTGGAAACCGGTACTTCACTGTAATTATGTTGATCGCTCGGCTGTCACACACATACGCCAAGAACCATCTTTCTTTGGCACTAACAGAGCAGTGACTGCACATGGGCTCATACTCTCTCAGATATAGCCCCTCTCCCAACTCTTCCACCTGTCGCTGCAACTCTTCGGCCTCCTTGGGACTGAGGCGATATGCTGGTCGATTTGGCAAACTTGACCCAGGAACAAGGTCAATTTGATGCTGAATATCCCTCATTCGTGGTAGTCCAGGAGGAAGATCCTCTGGCATCAAGTTAGAGAATTCTACTAGCAACCGCTGCACCTCTACTGGTAAATTTGTATCCACGTCTACTATATTGTTCTCGCAAGGTAGCAAGGCATAGACCACGCCGCCATGCTCAATCTCATCTAAAAACCTGGACATAGAAAGCAGATTAGTATTATGGGTTACTGGGGTAGGAGTAAGTCCTTCCCGCCGGGGTGCCAACACAATCTTTTTTCCCTTGATGCTAAGGGAATATGTATTCTTCTGTCCATCATGAATGACACTGCGATCATACTGCCAAGGTCGACCCAACAATATATGACACGCATCCATAGACACAACATCACACCAGGCATTATCAAAATATTTTCTACCAATTGAAAAAGACACGAGGCATCGCCTATCAACGTTACCTCACTGTCTTTATTTAGCCATGACAACTTGTATGGCTTAGGATGACGGTCCGTCTTCAACTGCAATTTCTGGACAACCTCCTCGGACACTACATTCTCACAACTGCCGCTGTCAATGATCATGTTGCAGACTTTATCTGCAACTGTGCAAGTCGTGTGGAAAATATTGGTTCTCAACCAATCGTCCCCTGAATCGCCCTTGGGGGTAAGTAGACTCTTGCGAACGACCAGAGTCTCATGACCATCTCCATACAGCACATCATCAGTCTCATCATCGTCATACACGGGTTCGCCAATCTCCTCAGTCTCGTCTTCCACGTTTTCCTCAATCAACAAATTTTTGCCCTTTTGACTAGCAGGCTTCCTGCAATCAGTCGCCCTATGCCTTTGTTCACCACAATGAAAACATCTAATAGTAGGGTTAGAATTACCCTGCGGTGGCTGCTGAGCAGGACGGGACTCTTGAGGGCGAACTGGTCGACTGTTGTGATCGCTCTTGATCACTGGTCTCCTGTTTTGTTGTTTTTCAACAGCAAGTGCACGCTGGTATGCTTCCGAAACACTCCACAATGAATGAAGGCTGAGGACATCTTGCAAGGGCTGGCGTAAACCCCCCAAATATCGCGCCACCATCTGCTCCTCCGTCTCAGATAAATCGTTCCGGGCGACCAATTGGTAAAACTCCTCCGTGTAATCATCGACTGATCGCGCGCCCTGCCTCAACGCATGAAGTCGCTGAAATAAGGTTTGCGTGTAGCCGAAGGGAAGGAAGTGGCCCTTCATCTTCTTTTCATCTTCTCCCAATCAGTGATCTTGGCTTTGCCCTGTCTTTCTCGTGAACGTCGTAACTGTTCCCACCACGCAGATGCTCTGCCCTTGAGTTTGATGGCGATCAGTTTCACTTTCACACAATCAGGGACTTCCTTATATTCAAAAATACGCTCCACTTCATTAATCCAATCCACGAATCCCTCGGCCTGTAACGTACCAGAAAACTCAGGGAGATCGACCCGAAAACCGAGGTCTCCATGACGCTCCTCCCGACCACGGTGCTCCCGAAATCCTGCGCCCCGGAATCCTGCGCGATTGTGATATGGGTTTTCGAAAGTGGAATTGGTATCGTGATCAGAGGCCTCACGATCTTCGAAATCCTGCGCCGCCAGGCGCTGGGTTAATTCTGCGACTTGCCTCTGCAAATCCGCAATCATAACATCCTGAACGCTGCGATCACGCGTTGGGCTTCCTCATTCGGAACCTGCTCACGACGACCACGACCACGACCTCCAGCCATTGAAACTGGTGAAATTTCCCAAGAAGATGTTGAAGCTCTGACAACAACTGACACCAGACAGAATAGTGATTATCCTGTAGGCTAGCTCCGACAGACGATTCACAAGAGAAAATTCGCCCAAAAACCAGAGAAAAAAAGTCTCTAGGGTTTAATAAAATATTATAAAATCAAAAACAATCCAAAAAGCAGTCCACAAGCCAGACTGTTATAGCAAAAAAATTTCTTTATTCGAATTTTGCCAAAATAGCAAAATCCCGAAAATCACTCTAAATTGAAATTCGAAATAAAATAAGCAATCTCCCAAAAATCCAGCCTAAATCGGATTTAAATTGACTTCCTAATTAACAATCGAAATATTACCATAATAGTAAAAAATAACTAAATCTAGTGATTCGGAGGGGAAAACGGCAGAATTTGAGGTTGAAAAAAGGCCACATGGTGTGGAGAGCGTGTGCGTCGAAAAGAGCTTTCCGGATTGAGGTCTTATGCGATTCTGACACCTGTAGCCAAAGTTATGGCCAAAAGACTGAAACATACTCAAAACGACCCCAATGAGGAACATGTCACAATCAATTCCCGCCTTTGCGCTGATCTGCCAACTCATGGTATCTAAGCGCCATCAACGTGCAATCTGACAGCTCAACATCATCTGTCTCGGATCCTCCTGCATCATCATCCGAGTTATCGAAGCATGCATGCTGGGTTAGCCGCGTGGATAATTTCTGTTTATCGAAGCGAATTCGGTGGAAGGAAAGAGAAGATAGAAGATAGGGGTTATGTACCTCCTTTGAACTGACAACCAATGATCAAGTAGCAATTTTACTCCACTTCCCTTTGAAGTCCCAAAGGGAACGATTTCAAGCATGTCGGGTACGGCCTGGACAACATTAGCGTGTTCTTCTGTAGCTTTTGACCAGTATGGACGCAGATTAGTTGTTATCCCCTCAGCAGTGTCGAAAAAAATTCAGCTTCTGCAAAACCAGAATATGCGATTAAATGACAAAGGACCATATTCAACAAAGCCTCAAATTCAATGGGGTGGGATTCTGTAATGGAAACCGAGTGAAACCGAATGGCACTGGAACAAAGAATCTTAAGCACTTTGTGCTATTCTTGAAAGTAGTTTTAAGCAAACAGATATTTATACATGTATGATGTATCTATGTTAGAATCATAGAAGCTATCGGCAAAGACTACTGCTGTTTTTGTCATTTAAGATTAAATATAGAATTAAAAAAGTAAATGCATTTCGGAACTCACGGCACTCATGTCAGGTCTTTGAACAAATAACCAGACAACACTCGAATTAATGAGTAAACAAAACAATCATCAAAGCTCCTTTCCCCCCCCCCCCCTCTTTTGCTACCGAAAATGCCGAGTCCTTGCAGACAAAAGAAAGTCCTATCACTTTCTATCTATGCTTTAAGCATGAACAAGAGAATCTTTGACTCTACCTGTATGTCTGCAGCAGCCACCATATGCTCAACTGAAGGCATGATCTCTGCCTGTAAAAGTTGTTGAGTGTATCATGCACATTATAAAAAATTTATCGGTCAGCAAACAAAATGTACTAATACAAGGAAAAAGTATATGACAGTATACAGCACCTTGGGTTCATGATATACGGTGTGAAGTGTTTCAACAAGAGGGTGATTAAACAGCGTTAAACAGCGATCCTGGCAAAATGCAACGAGAGGAACATTATGTTCCAAAGAGTAATGGTCAGCCTGCAAAATTGAATAAAGAGTAATGGATTTTTAGCGAAAAATTCTTTAAGCACTAAAATATTTTTTCGGGGTATAATTTAGGCACTTATTTATATATTATGCCTAAATAAATATAAATAAAATCTATATGTATATTTAATAAATGAGCACGAATAAATAATATGCTTTGATCGTTTATGTTCATGAACAAGTTTGTTTATTGATTTGTTCATAAACTCGTTCATAAACTCGTTTACTCGATTCTTCTTTTATTTTTTTATTTTTTAAATATTTGTTAAGTTAGGTATTAAATTGAATATAATGTGAATTTTTAAGTTTCAAAATGTGAAGTCTAAATAATTTAAAGTCTAGTCGTGTATTTTCACCATTTTTTGCTTGCAAAAATGGTAAACAAAGGGTTGTTCGTTGAACATTAAAGGACTATGTTCACGAATGTTAAATGAACATGTCCGCAAACATTAAACGAATATGTCTATAAATGCTAAATAAATAAAAAAAGATACATTCAAAAATAAATAAACGAATACAAACACAATATTAGAAGCTTAAACAACATATACACAAATAAAACATAAACATCCTTAAAATAAATAAACAAACATTAACCTAACTTTCTTTTTATTTAAATTCAACTTACACCCACATTTAAGGTTCATATTAGTTTTATAATTCTTTTTTTTTCAATTTAACAATACTATATTTTTATTATAATATAAGTATTGACTCGTTAAAGTTTAAACAACATGATCATGTGAACAATATTATTCAGGTAAAGTACATAAATGGTATACTAGTTATAAGACGATGCTTTATTAAGTTTCCTAATTATTGAAATTTATAAAATGGTTCATCGACCATAAGGTTTATTTTTGTAGAGTCTCTCGACTATTAAAAGTTACAAAATAATCATTTGGCTATTGATATGATCCAAAGTTGTCAGTTATTGTTAAATAATCGGTAGTCTTGTGAGTTGGATATTAACTTGTTCATATATAAAGTTTGATCTCATAATTGTCTGAGTTATATTTTATGGATAAAGTTTTATTTATATTATATCATCGAGCTAGTCTTTGAAACATTATATCATCGAGTCAGTTCTTGTAATGAACGACGATACCAGTAAACATCATTAAATATATTTTTATTATATCCAATCAGCAGATTAATGTCTAGATAAGATGTCCGTCAAATTTTCAACAAAAAACGAGTTTGGAATATATGAATAGTCAAATTACTATTTAATAACTTTTAATAGTTGGAAACTTAACAAAACAAGTTTATGTAGTCAGGAAACCATTTTGTAATTTTTAATAATTTAGATACTCAATAAAATAATATTCTATAACCCGTAGACAATTTATATACTTTATGTAATTATTTATTAGTGTGATGATATAAGCAAAACTATATTTTTTTAATATGATTATTAATACATAAAATGACATTGTCGTAAAGGATTATATAAGTTATTATTTTTTCTCATTTTCTATTTGTTTCTACCTTTATTTTATTCAACTTAAAATTTGATTAAATTTTTAAAGTTGGATTATTACATGTATTTCTAAAAGTAACGCTAGATCCAAATCTCATACTCATTTATAATCACTAATAATCAAAATTGATAAACGAGTTGGTTCAAGTGATAAACAGTTTGATATCGTTTAAATAAAATCTCGAGTTTCGAGTCATAATGCATACAAAAAAAAATTCATTGAAAGACTCACATACTAAATCAGGCGTACGACGTAAATCGATTCAATTTAATTAAGACAAAATCTTAGAACAGATTTCACAACCAAAATAATAATAATCCAAATTGAAAAAGCAAAACTGAATGTGATCATAAGTGGAATCCAAAATATCTAAATTATTGAGAGAGGAACTGACCCAATTTAAATCAATGTAGAGGACAAAAGGGAAAGAAAAAATATAACAAAATAAACCCTACCAAAGCAACGCAGCCTTTGCCCGCCGAAACCCACTTGTCCACCCCGTCCCGCGTGTTCGATCTTTCGTCTCTCTTTCTCTCGCCTTTGTGTACTGTTATTGAGAATCGAGTTTAGATCTGGTGTTATATTCCTTGAAAATCCGTGTTTGACTTTCTTCGTTGAAATTCCCAAGCAGTTTCCCTACCCTTTAATCATTTAGGGTTCCGATCTGTTCTCCGTCTCGCTCGTGTTTTGTGTTTAAAAACGCATCTGAAAAAAGAAAAGGAAAGGAAAGATAAGACAAGAAATTATATCTTTCGTTTTATTTCGGTTTGTGTTGTAATCTAAATTTCATTACCTTGTTAAATTTGTTTGATTCCCGTTACAGTTGCTTGAGCTTGTGTCAGTTTGAGGTTAGATTGAAGCTTGAGTGTTTTTGGTGTCGTTTATTGGGTTTGTTAATTTCTGAAACCGATGGATACTCGGATCCCTAGTGCATCTTTGCCGCAGGAATCACAGCCTCCGAAGAAGCATGGAATCACGAAACCAATATCACTTGCGGGGCCAAGTGAGGCTGATATTCAACGGAATACGGAATTGGAGAAGGTAATGTTATTGTCTTTTCTGGTTAAGTATCGCATATTTTAGTGACCTTTAATTGACGATTTCCTTTTTTTTTCCTTTCAGTTTTTGATAGAGTCTGGGCTTTACGAGAGCAAAGAAGAGTCTGCGAAAAGGGAGGAGGTTCTTGGTCATATCACTGAGGTAATTACCAAATAATGGAAGTTTGCTTGCTGTCTTCCATTAGTTGAAGATTATGTGAATAGTTGTTGGTGCATTGCGTCTTGATTGGGACTACTGGTTCATGTTTCATTTATGAATTACCAGGCACCTATAGTTGCATGTTATGGTGGTGATTGCACGGTGACAAATGCACTGCAGATGGTTTTAGTTGATACGTTAGTTAAAGATGTTTGATCTAATTTGTTTATTTTTTGTTCTGAAAAGTGATTATTACCTTATAGATTGTAAAAAGTTGGGTAAAGCAAGTAACACGTCAAAAGGGATACACAGATCAGATGGTGGAGGAAGCAAATGCTGTCATTTTCACTTTTGGATCTTACCGTTTAGGGGTAAGTATAAACTCTAATGCTTCAAAACTGCCATTTCATTAACTTATTTTCTTTCTGACATTTCTCGGTGTTCATAGAAATACAAAGTTGTTGAGGTTTCTCTATGAGCATGAACTTTGTCTGTTGATCTACCAATTGTCATTGATGTTATTTCTTTATGGATTGTTGTGTTGATATGTGTGTCACAAGTTAAATCAATATTTGATATTCATATTCTAAGCACAATTCACTATTTTGAAAGGTGCATGGGCCGGGAGCTGACTTAGACACATTGTGTGTTGGACCATCTTACGTGAACCGTGAGGTGTCTTTAATCTGCTTATTTTTTTTTCTTTTTCCTTCAATTAAGTTGCTAGTCACGTAGTTTGAGATTTACTAACATTACTTTGAATTGCACCAGGAAGATTTCTTCATCATTTTGCATGATATATTGGCTGAAATGGAAGAAGTCACTGAACTTCAACCAGTTCCGGATGCTCATGTTCCAGTAATGAAATTTAAGTTCCTAGGGATATCAATTGATCTTCTTTATGCAAGTATATCTCTTTTGGTTGTTCCAGATGTAAGTTTGTATTCCATTTGATGATCTTTTGATTTTACTTGTCTACAGCTTAACTGCATTACTTAACACTCGAGTGAAGGCCTGGAACGGTTTTCTTTACACATTGCAGGATGTTGCAAGCAATTCTATGATAAAGAAATCTTTCTTAGTTGCTTGATATGTTGTCAACTCAACCTTATATTATAACCTATTTGTTTTATGACAAAATAAGTAAATTTAAGTATAGGTGGTATGCGTATGTGGTACTCTTTTGCTTAAAATATTGCATTATCCTTTGAGTAACTGTCAAAGTCTTCTTTACATCTGAACTTTAGCAACTCATGGATACATTCTAATATATTAGTTCTTTTAGCTGCCCCTTTCTTCCTAAAGTTAGTTTTTTCTCTCAATAATTCAGTAAGAAAAAGTGACTTCTGTCATATTTAGACAATTTATAAGTTCGGGTTTAGAATGAATTTGACTAGCAGTTGTATGGTTCTTGGAGTAGTTTAACTGAATTTTTGGTTGAGTGTTGAATGTTTTGTTTGCTGAAGGGACAGACCAATATAGAATATTCTTGATGTTTCATTACAAGTTTTTTTAATGTTAAGTTTGCAGTACATGTTTAGTTGCTCTGAATTTTGATTTATCTGTTTTTTCTGGAACTAATCAACAGGACCTTGACATCTCACATGGGTCTGTGCTGCATAACGTTGATGAGCAAACTGTTCGAAGTCTTAATGGGTGCAGGGTTGCTGATCAATCCTTAAACTCGTTCCAAATGTTGAGGTGAGTATGTGTGTTGACTCACACTTGTTTCTATTACGTTTTGTCATTTTACACTTCTGATTAATTGTATGATTTTAGCACTTCCGCATGACGCTTAGATGTCTGAAGTTCTGGGCCAAGAGGCGCTGCGTTTATTCCAATGTAAGAATGGTATTTATTGATTTCTTTTTCATTGGCTTCTTTGCTTTCGTATCATGTTTCAATTTTGTTTTCACTTGTGTAGGTTACGGGATTTTAGGAGGTGTAAATTGGGCTCTTCTAGTTGCACGTGTGTGCCAGCTTTATCCCAATGCAATACCTAGTATGCTGGTTTATCGTTTTTTTTAGAGTATATACTCAGTGGAGGTGGCCAAACCCTGTTATGTTATGCTCAATAGAAGAAGATGAACTTGGCTTTCCTGTCTGGGATCCTCGGAAGAACCATCGGGACCGGTTTCATCTTATGCCAATAATAACTCCTGCTTACCCTTGCATGAATTCCAGTTACAATGTCTCTACAAGCACCCTTCGTGTTATGATGGAACAGTTCCAACATGGTAATAGAATATGTGAGGTGAGATTATACAAGTCTATTGTGTATTAAGGTCTAGCTGTCTGTATTGAGGCTTAAACTATTGATCACTCATCTTGATAATTTTGTTATCATGTAGGAAATTGAGCTAAGCAAGGCTCAATGGTATGCTTTGTTTGAACCTTATCTTTTCTTTGAGGCATACAGAAACTATCTACAAGTTGACATAGTTTCAGCAGATGCTGATGATTTACTGGTATGGAAAGGCTGGGTAGAGTCGCGGCTTCGGCAGCTTACCTTGAAGGTTAACATCAACTTTTCTGGTGCACGAGTACTACTTTTAGATACTAGTTTAGTATAATGAATATTTTTCTCTTTCTCATGGTTTAACATCAACTTTTCTGGTGCACGAGTACTACTTTTAGATACTAGTTTAGTATAATGAATATTTTTCTCTTTCTCATGGTTCAATGTGTCTCTGCAGATAGAGCGGGACACAAATGGAATGTTGCAGTGTCATCCTTACCCAACTGAGTATATGATAAGTCGAAGCAGTTTGCACATTGTGCATTCTTCATGGGCTTGCAGAGGAAAGTGGGAGTGAGTGGTCAAGAAGGTCAACAATTTGATATACGTGGAACAGTTGATGAGTTCAGACAGGAGATAAGCATGTACATGTATTGGAAACCAGGAATGGACATTTATGTTTCTCATGTTCGTAGGAGGCAGCTTCCTGGCTTTGTTTTCCCTGATGGATATAGATGGCCTCGACCATCGAGGCATCTGAACCAGCGTACGGAAAAACTTGTGAAGTTGCCCCAAGGTATCAGTTAGGGTCTGCAGAAAGACAAATTAAGAGAAACATGTTGATGAGACCATGGAACAAATACTGGAAAAACCTGAGAAGCGGGCCTCTATTAGCCCCCTGAGGCTGGAGTCTGTGTCTCTAGAAAGTGCTATAAGTGGAGGAATATCTCATATCAGTAATGGTCAAGCAGTTAAACCAGATCACCGAAGAGGTGCGGATGATGATAGGCTGTCTAGTAGGCTGTTAGACATTGAAGAAAGAAATGTGGAAATTATCATTCAGCAGGCTAGAACTGATAGTCAAGGGTCCCTCGCCATATGTGAGCAGACTTCTTTGGATGTAGATAATTTGTCGGTAGTTAGAAATGTAGAGGCTGCTGAGTTGTTGGGTGAACCTGTTCTTAGGCAGGAGTTGATTCCTCCATGTAAAGTTCCTAGTTCTGATATAAGGGAGTCATGCAAGCATAGCTTGTATCAAGAGAAAACTGAGGATTTGGCATTATCTTACATGGATGACGTAGCTGGATCCTCTAGGAACATCTTAAACTGGAAAGGAGGTGGTGATGGGGTTGATCAAGAGGAGGACAAACCATGTAATCAAACGGTAGTGGAAATTGCTGAAAGTGTATATGGGCCAACTTCCAATGTGCAGAGCCTCAATTGCGAGGTGAGTTCTTTTGTTTGAGGTATTTATGTTAAGACAGTAGCAGATGGCTGTGACAATACTGGAAGTTCTGGAGATAGTGAGTCGGGGATCTTTGCAGGGTGGTAGTGGCAGATTTGGATTCGCTTCCGGAAAATAGACATCCAAATGCAATTGGTGTTCTCCAAAACAGTTTGTCTGAAGAATTACAGGTTCTGAATCCTACTTTTGGACAAAATTAAATAATGTCTTTTCTTCTACCTTGTAGTAGCTGCCTGTTTACTGTTTTATTTTCTATTTAGGTAACCTTCTTTGTTCCTTATCTTTTTCTGTATGGTTGGGTCATTGTGATAGCTAGTCTTTTTTTTTTTGGGGAATCTTGTTCATGAGAAATTAAGTTATGAGTAAAGAAATGGTCTTTAACTTGATGTTTAACGGTGTGAATAAAATCTTTATTTCATGACTTGAATTATCTTATGTTCAATTAGGAAACCTTTCAGTGATATCATGTAATCATTAGAATTGTCTACTTGTCTTCCCCCTCTCTTTTTCAATATTATTTTTTGCCACCCGATCTCCTAACTGGTGCAAATGTGGTGGCAGGCCCTGTACCACCATCATACGGGCTATGTTTCCAGTGATTGTGCTTAAGACCGTGACTATGTTTTGTGGGCTCAGATACATGACCCTCCCTTTATTTCTTACATATCTTTGGACTATTTTTGGGTATCTAACTTGCCTTTTGACCTTATTTTATTTTATAGCCAAATATACCTGTTGGGAAGGTTGTAGATTCTCAAGACGGAGCTAGCCAGCTAGGTCTGAAACTTTGCAGAAGCCAATGACCAGGCATGTACATTTGTTCCTCGTGTTTTGTTTATGGAAATCACAATCTCTTTATGCCGTTTTCCAAATAATTTTTAGCAGGTTGGTTTGAAGTCAATGGCATAATGTATTGTAGATGATGCAATCAGAGAATCGGTGTTATCAAAGGAGTAAAGGCCAGGGCATCGGTAAGTGTCCCATTTAGTGCCTGGCGTACATAATCATTTTCACTGTGTTGCTGTGGTTATAGATTGGAGGAGTCATGAGGCTGCAAGAGTGCTGGTGCTTTGAAGACTGCTCTCTCTTTTTTGACCACTCGAGTGTTGTGGCATTCTTTTTGCCTCCATTTATGAGTCGAGTTAATCAAGGAATTGTAAATCATAGAGGCGGTGGTGTATCATTTAGAAACTTTTTTGGCAACTTTGTTTAATCCTTTGTACATAGATAACCTAATAATACAGTTTAAGCTTTCTTTCTAGTTGGTTAACTCATCTCTCTCACACACGATGTTATGAGCAACTGAACTAAAAGGATTGTTTCTTATTACTTAGGTTATTAGATTTAGCAGACATTGACCCTTTGTTAATCTTCAAAAAGTGAGATTTGCTCATTTATTTTTGCACACTTTTACTCCCCGTGGTATCCTGTCGACTTAGATTCACCGCAGCTATTGGTAAAATTCAGTCTATGTTAATCATGTTGTCATCTTCCTTGGATCCCTTTTTACCGTGCTTGTAACCGGAAAGATAAGGGGTGTCTCTGCCAAGAAGTGGAGACACATCGAAGTCACTTCCCATCTTTTTGGCTGCATGACCGTTAGGAAGACAACAGCTACGAAGGATATGCGAAACTTCCTTCATCGAAGGCCTGTTAGAAGGTGATGCATCGGTGCACAGGATTCCGACCTTGTATACCAGTATCATTTCCTCCAAGTAGGATGTTTCCTTGACCTCTGGGTCTAGTATTTCCACCATGTGTTTATCTTCTGAGAAGTGCTGCCACGCCCATTCTGCGAGGTTCATATTTTCATCCACGCTATTTGCTTCTTTTCCGGTCACCAATTCGAGAAGTACCACTCCAAAGCTGTAAACATCGACCTTTGCATTGACTTTTGTTGTATATGCATACTCTGCAATTTAAAAATGATAACTTTGTGTTAAAAGAGATGCTTCGGTCTTTATGATTCAAAAGATAGTTGAGATTATAAAGTGGACAATGATAATGTTTTGAGCATTTTTACCTGGGGCGAGGTATCCGAAAGATCCTGCGACTGTCGACATCGAGTGAGCACTTGCATGCCTAGTTAGCATCTTAGCAAGTCCAAAATCTGCAATTTTTGCATTGAATTCGGAGTCCAACAAGATATTGCTAGACTTCACATCACGATGGATGATTGGTGCAAGGCACTCATGGTGCATGTAGCATAGCCCTTGAGCAGCTCCAACAGCAATCTGTAACCTTCTAGGCCAGTCCAAGACAGCATAGTGAACTGAATTCATCCCCGAGATCAGGCTTCTCTTATTCCCATGAAGCCATCTATCAAGACTCCGATTCTCCATGTACTCGTATACCAGAAGCTTCGAATCTTCGCTGGAAATGCAACATATCAACTTCACTATGTTGGAATGCCGGATGTTGCTCAATATTTCAACTTCGGCTAAGAACTCTTTCTCGAGCTTGTGATCCACTTCCTTGCTATTCCAAATTTTCTTCACAGCAACGGATTCGCCTGAACGGTTTATGGCGATTCGATAAACCTTCCCCGAGCCACCGCTTCCGATGAGATTGTTATCTGTCAGATTGGACAATATGTTCCCCTTTGTGAAACCCAATCTCTGGAAGGAGGTCAACTTCCATGTTGACAGGTACTGTCCATACTTTTTCCTCCTGTAGTCTCGAACTAAGAAGAAGCTCAACAGAAGGATAACTGAGGAAGCAAGGAGGGAAAGTGCCACAATCATGGCAATAAATTTAGATGACAATTTATTCGGCTGATGATGGAGTTTGGAATTGCAGTCCGGAAGCTTTACAATCGGATGATCTGCACATAAACCCGAATTTTTCAAAAAACTGACTTCATATGCAAGGTTGTTGAACTGCTTGGGAATCTTGCCTACAAGTTGATTGGATGACAAGTTCAGTGAATTCAGCCTCTGGTTGCCAATTTCAGCAGGAATTTCACCAGAGAATTGGTTTTTGGATAAATCTAAGTAAAGCAAGTCAGGTAAAGACGCCATCGCGGAAGGGATTTCACCGGAGAGCTTGTTGTTGGAGACATCTAACGTAGTTAATGATCTCCATGAGATTATTTCAGATGGCAGTTCACCGGAAAGATCATTACCGTCGAGAAGCAAAGTAGTGAGGTGAGAAAGGTTCGTTACCTCCTTCGGAATTTTGCCTGAAAATAAATTGTTGCTCGCCTGGAAGACAACCAAATTAGACCAAGATGCAATTCCGGGTGGGATTTCACCAGAGAACTTGTTGTTGCTAATTTCCACCCTTGACATATTCCATGTAACTCTACTAGGTAACTTGCCCGACAAGGAATTGTTCGTTAATAACAAGGTCGACAAATTGTAAGTCGTCCATAAACGTCGAGGAATCTCACCGGAGAAGTTGTTGTTGTGAAGTTGAATTGTGCGTAACGTGGGGCAATTTCCGAGTGACTCCGGTATTCGCCCGGTTAGATTGTTCGTATATGCAACCACACCTTGTAGCACACCTCCAGCACATAAATGTTCAGGCAGTTGGCCACTGAATTGATTCTCCGACACCTCAAATCCTTCGAGATTCGAATGAAAACCGAATTCCGGTGCCAAGACTCCGCTCAACTTGTTCCGAAAAACACGAAGATCGCGCAGAGCAGGAAGTTGAGCAAGGCTTGTTGGTAGCTCTTCCGTCAACTGATTGTAAGCCAGGTTTAGAAACTCCAAATTTTGCAACTTCCCGAAGTCTTCTGGAATGGAGCCTGTCAAATTGTTCGCCGAAAGATCGATTTCAATCAAACTCGAAGCTTCGACGGTTTTCGGTATCTCACCGGACAGCTTATTGTGGAAGAGATAAACTTTTGTTAAATTCTCCAAGGAAAACAGGCTGCTAGGAATGTGGCCTTCCAGATTGTTTACAGCCATGTCCAAGTGCTCTAGACCGGAAAGATTGTCGAAACTTTCCGGGATTTCGCCGATCAAATTGGTTTGCTTCATCCATAAGTACCGCAACTTGCTCATCCGACCGAACTCCGGAGGTATTCTCATCGGAACAAACTCGTTATAAGCCATCATCAGAACCTCGAGATTCAACAGGTTACCAATTTCCTTAGGAAATGTCCCTTTAAATTGGTTTTGGACAATGTTCAACGTGTTCAACACCGGTAATCTTCCGATACTCGACGGAATATCACCGGAAAAGTTGTTGCCACTTATATCCAAATAAACCAGAGTCGACAACCGGTCGATATCACCGGGGATCGGGCCGACGAAATAGTTCTGAGCAAGTACTAGGACCTCAAGCCATGAACAATCGTAAAGCATGGGAAACTCTCCCGGGATGAAATTGTTGTAAAGGTCAAGGTAAGTGAGGTTTTTAAGGTCGCATATAATTGGAGGTACACTTACCGTGATGTTTTTGTCACCGAGATGAACTTCGGTGACTGAGTCAGAGGTGCAGTTGATCTCCGGCCAATCGCAAGGCGAGGACGAGGAGTTCCAGTGCACGAGCGACGGCGGATCGCCGAGCTGGTGTTTGAGTTGGAGAAGAACGGTGCGTTCGGTTTTGATGTATTGTGAAGTGGCTTCGAAGGGTATGGAGATGAAGAGGAGGAAGAGGAATGGTAAGCATAGTTGAGACATTTGTCTTATTTTTCCTGGAAATGGGTTGGTTTTGGAACTGACAGATCTGGGCGAGTCTTATAAGAGCTTTGGGATCCTGTTGAATGTGTAGACCTTTAGCCTCGTGATATTTGGGGTTTAATTTTTTGTATTAATTAATTATTTTATTAATTATATTTATTTTAAAATTTTTATTGTCTATCTTAAAATTTAATTTTTTTTTTAATTAATTACTTATTTTACGAACAATTCTCCTCTTAAAATTTTATTTATATCATATTATTTAAGATAAATTTTATATCGTTAATATGTATATTCACTTTAAAAAATATTTATAGATTTATCACGGGTCGAATTCAAGTGACAACTGGCCAGAGTTGGGTCTTTTGACAGTTTAACTGCAATCATTTTTTCAAGACTCCTACTATCGTTAAATTGCGTCTAAAAATTCAATTGTTAAACTTTTTACATAAATAAAAGCGATTAATAATTTTTATTTAATTTTTAAAACTATTTTCATTGCTTTAAATATAAAAATATGCAATTTAAATTATAAAATAAAAATATAAATTAAAAAAATGGTTTATTTTGGCATAAACACTAGGTTTGGATCGGTTTTCTCGACTTCTCTCTTCTAACCGTGGGTTTGTTTTTTTACTTCCCACTTGCATGTTCTTCCAAATTCTTCACAGTTGAGAGTAGCAATTTTGCAATTAGATGGAAATATATGACCCTTTCTGGGAAAGGAGACTGTGGAATAGTCAACGAGTCAGCCAAAATGCGCTGCACTGCAGAGTTGGTACTGATGTTTGACTAGAGTGAAACCAATAAAATAAAAGTTTATAGGGTAAACTAAACATTTAGTATCTAAACTATTAATTTTTATCTATTTTAGTACTTAATTTTTTATTTTTTCCAAAGTCACACCTAACGTTTAGTTTTTATTTCATTTAATATCATATCATTAAAAACTCAACAGATAGGTTGACGTGATATAGTTCTGGTGAAATGATGATCAATCCAAATGGTGAACCACGAGATAATGATGAGTCAACCAACATAACACAGTTTTTTGGCTCATCGGATGATGTATCATGTAGATCGAAAGATAAAGAAATCAAAGGTTTCATCGATGATTTGGGAAGACTGAGTTGTTTCCCGATGAAACGGAGACCGAGATCACGTTCATGTGCGGTCTAGAAAGTTCGGGCTTCATCGATTGACGATGCGACGAATGACGACTATAGACACGACAACTGAAGAGCCCGTTCATTAAGTTTTAACGGTGAGTACTAAAATGAAATAAAAACTAAACGTTATGTATAATCTAAAAAATGAAAACTAAAAAACTTTAACGGGTTGAAATTAATAATTTAGGCATAAAACGCATAGTTCACTCAAGTTTATAATATAAATCAGATTTAAATTTAATATATTTTTAAAATTGTTATTTAAATTTTTATTTTATATTAATATCTAAATTTGATTTTTTTTCAAAATAATATCTTTATTAAATTGAATTTTCAATACTTAATCAAATCATTAATGTTATATAGAATAATTAAGATGATGATATTATTAATTATTATAATCATAACCTGAATAATTTTTAAAATATTATATCAATATTATATATTAATTAAACAGTATTTTAAGTTTAAATGTTAATTTTAATTTTTCTTTTAAAATTCATATGTCAAAATGATAAAATAATTAAAATATTAATAAAGTAATAGTTTTGATATATATAATAAACTTAAATAAAATAAAAGGAATGTAAAAATTAAGCTAAATATTTTTATCAATAATTAATTGGTCTAGTAGCCGGTAGTATAAGACATTAAATTTTTTAAATAAATTCAATAATTTGAATTTTAACATTATAAGTGAAATAAATTATGTTAAAAATATCAATGTTAAATGTGAATCTCTATAATATTTGATATGAATTAATTAATAAATTTAAATATCAATAATTAGGAAAAAAATTAGAGTAAACTATATATTCAATACCTAAAGTATCAATTTTAGTCCATTTTAGTATCTAAACTTTTATTTTTTTTTTCGTAATCATTCCTAAAGTTTAGCTTTTGTTTATCCTACCATTAAAAACTTTAGTTTTTGTTTCATTTTATTACCTTCGTTCAAAATTTAACGTTAAATTTTGAAAAATTGAAAGTTTAGTTACTCTAACGGACCAAAATCGATAGTTTAGGTATTAAACGCGTTAAGCTTCAACGACGGGATACTGAAAGTAAAGTATGATTTTGAAAAGTTTGAAAGTTCATGTACTAAAACGGATAAAAAAAACTTATAATTTAGATACCAAATGCATAGTTTACCCAAAAAAAATCTTGGAGTGGGTCAGTCAAAGTTTGGAAGCATTAGGTCGACGTGATGTTGATGCAAAAACACAAAGTAAGTTGATTTTTCTTTTTATTTTCAATCTTCCGTTGACTATGATTTAGCAACTCTGATTCCATTTGGATCTAATGCCATTCACACCATGTGCTTCGAAGCATTTTCCCTCTCTTTATTTAATCTCCAATCTCAATGCATTACATTCACATTCATGAGGGCCAAATTCTATAAGAAGTCCATTTTATGGTGGACTTTTGATCGATTTAATCTATTTACCATGAAAAAATAAATTATTTAATAGTTAGGGTAAAGTACACAAATGATGTTTCGGATAATATTTATTGAGTCATTTGACTATTAAAAGTTATAAAATGGTTCTCTGACTATAGGGAGTTGCTTTGTTGAGTCTCTCGACTATTAAAAGTTACAAAATGATCATCCGACTATTTCATTATGTTTCAAACTCGTCATTTTTTGTTAAAATTTTGACAACAATCTAAATGTATAGTAACATGCCGACTGAGGTATGATAAAGTTTGATCTCATAATCTCAATTTACTATCATAACTCGATCAAAATTTTAACATCTGACTCATATGATCGTTAATTTTTTGTTTTTATAATTTATTTGTCATTGATGATCGGCGATTATGATTCCATTATTTGAGGTTTGAGAGGTTGATTGATTATGTTAGTGGGCGTGGTCGAAAGTTTGAACGAAGGTTTGGTTAATTATTCTTACCAGTGGGTTGAAAAGAAGGTTGCTCAAAACGATTTTTGGGTTTTTGATCTTCTGGTGTTATGGCTTCCAATGGTTGAGCTCAACGGAGGAGGAAGAAGAAAAAGAAATGTTGCTCAAAATAATTAAGTTTTTTATTTTCCGGAAGTTAGGGTTTTCAATGGTAGAAGAAGAAGATATATATTTTTTGGGGGATTTTTTTTTTTATTTTTAATAAATTTTTTCCATGTCACTTATAGGTGACTTATGTGTATTTATTTATTATTTTTTAAATTACTACGTAATACTTTTATTAAATGATTAACGGGGTTTACGACTAGGGACTAAAATCAAACAGATCGATAACGTTAGATACCATTTACCTTTAATTTTTAAATTGGTAACCAAAATCGATCATACTTAAAGTAAAGGGGACTATTCGCACAGTTTACCCTTAAAAAAGTAAAGAGATTAAATATGTAAAAGAAATACATAGTATAAGGGCAACCTATAAATTTGACCATTAGTTAATAGCTTCTAAGTGTGATCGTAATCTGTGTGCTGGCTTTTAATCAGCTGCCAATAGACTTGATTTTTGTAATTATATGGAGAATTTTTATGACTAAAAAGCTCCACTTCAGAAAAGAAAAAAAAAGTGTGCACGTGCGTTATGAGTGACAAGAACCAATATGATAAAAATTGAGAAAATCGCCTCAGTGACCAAAAATACTTTATAATATACGATTTTAACCAACTTTTTTTGGATTTGCCAAAATGACCAATAAAATCGCAACGCGATATCAAAATCGCAACGCGATTTAGAAAATCGCAACGTTAAAAAGAAAATCGCAACGGTCAAAAGAAAATCGCAACGCGAGCTTCCAAGTTCGCAACGCGATTTAGAAGAAAATCGCAATGCGATTGATAGAATCGCAATGCGATTGATAGAATCGCAATGCGATTGATAGAATCGCAATGCGATTGATAGAATCGCAATGCGATTGATAGAATCGCAATGCGATTTATATAATCGCAATGCGATTGAGAGAGTCGCAACGCGATTTAGAAGAAAATCGCAATGCGACTGAGAGAATCGCAATGCGATTTATAGAATCGCAACGTTGAAAATAAAATCGCAACGGTCAAAAGAATAGTTAAAAAAATTTTGTTTCTTAAGAATTTTCTCTAAAAAGATAGTATCCGCGCGGACGTGTCGAAGACACGTATTACCACGACCACGACCACGACCACGACCACGACCACGACCACGACCACGACCACGACCACGACCACGACCACGACCACGACCACGACCCGAGACGAGACGGCGGCGGCGGCGCGCGAGAGTCCCCCTTGTCCTCTTTCACTCAACAAGGAAGTGCAAAATACAAGCCTTAAATATAATTCCCAATAGTGTTTCCAATACTATGTGGGATTGAGCATTACCAACACTTGTTCCCAATATCATTATTCTTCATAAGTTATCATCCATCACAATATGAATTATCGATAATAAATTAATTCATTTTAATAAGTATTTAAAATTATAACTTGATAATACATGAAATAATTCTATTATTAAATAAAAAATATATTTTTTATATTAAAATTATTGAGATAGATATTTACTATAAAGTAAAAGATTTTTTTTTCACGTACAACCTCTATGTGAATTAGTTTCACAATAAGGTATCGGTTATGCATTGGATTCTTTCGTATTAGATGGTCTTTAATAAGATCATCATCATCATTCTTTTGTTCAACAATACCATATATTAATGAGGTATATTGGTTCATTAACACGACTAATTCATATTGTAATGGATGATAACTTATGAAGAATAATGATATTTGGAACAAGTGTTGGTAATGCTCAATCCCACATAGTATTGGAAATACTATTGGGAATGGTATTTAAGGCTTGTATTTTGCACTTCCTTGTTGAGTGAAAGAGGACAAGGGGGACTCTCGCGCGCCGCCGCCGCCGCCGTCTCGTCTCGGGTCGTGGTCGTGGTCGTGGTCGTGGTCGTGGTCGTGGTCGTGGTCGTGGTCGTGGTAATACGTGTCTTCGACACGTCCGCGCGGATACTATCTTTTTAGAGAAAATTCTTAAGAAACAAAATTTTTTTAACTATTCTTTTGACCGTTGCGATTTTCTAAATCGCGTTGCGATTCTCTCAATCGCGTTGCGACTCTCAATCGCATTGCGATTCTATAAATCGCGTTGCGATTCTATAAATCGCGTTGCGATTCTATCAATCGCATTGCGATTTTCTTCTAAATCGCGTTGCGAACTTGGAAGCTCGCGTTGCGATTTTCTTTTGACCGTTGCGATTTTCTTTTTTAACGTTGCGATTTTCTAAATCGCGTTGCGATTTTGATATCGCGTTGCGATTTTATTGGTCATTTTGGCAAATCCAAAAAAAGTTGGTTAAAATCGTATATTATAAGGTATTTTTGGTCACTGAGGCGATTCTCTCTAAAAAATTAGCTCACCATTTTTTTCATATGTAATAGGATAAGGGGAGGTAGGGTAGCAGGCTGCCCCCAACGCTAGATTGAGAACAACTTCCGTAGAAGACCTCCAGCAATTATGAATTGCCCGCCGTGGGACTCGATCCCACGACCTCAAGGTTAAGAACTTTGTGCTCTACCAACTGAACTGGACAGACAATTCCAATATGATAATAATAATATATGTATATAAAAGAATTTAGAATAATTTTCTTTTAAGTAAGATTTCATTCATCTTAATTAATCTGGATCGATCTATGTCGTAATCTGATTTTGGTGGATGAGTCTTCCAACGATGATTTGTTCATACACGAATATTCGAACTCGAAATTTATTTAAACAATACATATGAAGTTATTTATCACTTGAACCAACCCGTTAGTTATTTGATATATATTTATTAGGAGTATAATATAAACTATTATAAGTCTTTAATCCAAATTCTAGAAGTTAGACCACTTTAATTTATATTCCACAATAGAACAGAAATGTTAAGAATATTATGTTCAAATGCAAAGTGGTACGAGAATGACAACTTTAAGTGGGAAATTGATGCAATAAGTGGAGAAAATACATTGGAATTTGAAAGCCATCAATTCCGGTATTTTAAAAGAGATTCGATTTTTCTTCATTGGATTCCTTAATTAATTCAGACCGATGTCGTACATTTAATTTTTTGGAATGAATTTCTTAACACGAATTTTTCACATGCATAAGAACTCGAATATGATATCTTAATTAAGTAGTATTTAGTTGATTGCCGCTTAAACGACCCTCATTGGTCGATATTGAATTTTCTTTACGTATGAATCTGGAATAAAATTTATATATTATAATTAACTTAAAAAATTAATAAAGAGATATTGTTATCTAGATATGTGTGTGTGGTGGAAGTGAGATGCCCTAATTTGTTAGGACATCGCAATTCAAAGTCCATACGATTTGAAGTTTGGCGTCATCCGTGATTCCCATGTGAAGGGTCATTGATATTAATAATTGGCTGGTCAATAAAGTAAAGTGGAGTCTTCACTTGCTGGCGGAATTTAAACGTTATTGTGCGGTTGTTAAGGGAGCATAACGCAAGCTATTCAAAAGATACATTAAATTCATGGGTAAATTACATTAGATACCTATGGACTTTAGACGTCGTATCGTTATATCATTGAACTTTTAATTTTTATCATTATAGTACTGAATTTTGATTTTTATTTCAAGTTATATCATTGAACCGTTAAATTGTTAATAATACGATGACGTGGCTGATAGTTATAGACATGGACACCTCATCAAAACGACGTCGTTTTGAATTGATTGTTAATGATTTAACGTCCTAGTGGTATAACTGAAACGGAAAATTAAAGTTCAGTGTTATAATTGATAATATTAAAGTTCAATGATATCAATTATACAACGCCTAAAGTTTAATGATATATGATACAGTTTATCCTAAATTCATTCACACAAGTATGAAATCAGGAATCAAATAAGAGGACGATGTTAAATGGAAACTTGATATCAAATTGTTATCACTAAAACTAGTGATTAAACTCCGTAATTAAGTCAACAAATAATATTTAAAATTTGGGTAAAGTACACAAATGCTCCCTTGACTATAGGATGTTACTCTGGTGAGTATCATGACTATTTAAGTTACAAAATGATCACTCAACTATTCATATATTCCAAACTCGTCTTTATTCGTCAAAAAAATTGACGTCAGTCTGAGCTGGATGTTAAACTGCTGACTGGAATATGATAAAATTTGATCTCAAAATCTCAAACGACTATCATATCTCAATCAGCATGTTAACGTCCATCTTAAACTACCGTCAACTTTCAACAAAAAGGACGAGTTTAGAAGATATGTTTAGTCGAATAACTATTTTATAACTTTCGATAGTCGATGTATTCAACAAAACAACATCCTATAGCCAGAGTACAATTTTGCAACTTTTAATATTTGAGAAATTCAACAAAATAACATCATATCATTGAGGGACTATTGAGTAGTTTACCTTTAGATTTTTTATAATCCTCTCAAAATATTAAATAGAAATAAAACTCAAGAGAAATCAACAAAATTAAGAATTATATCATGAGAATATAATATAAATATAAAATTTTAAAATTAAAATATTTATTCACAATTATTTATTAAATTGTCGTTAAACAAATTTAGAAATAGCTGAAATCGAAATCCCCTTAACAATATGTTATTATTATTATTATTATTATATTAAAATAATTTTATTGAAATAACTTTAAGAGAACGTTTAATTCACAAAATGTAACATGAACTCGGGCATGCATCTTGCAATATGAAGAGAATAATAAGAACGCATAAACACTGATAAAAAGAAAGCTTAATGAGTCGAGACACTTCAATGTGCTGGAAAAAAAAAGGTAACAGTGACAAAATGGGATGAGAACAGCCTTATTTGTATTCGAATGATGGGACGGGCGGGGCGTCGAAGCTCTCCAAAACCTCGGTTTTACTTCCGCTACTACCTGTTGCCGGTTCCTGCTTCTTTCCACCAAAAAGTCCTCCGAACCATGACGAGGAAGAATTAGATGAGGACGATGATGTTGATGGTGGAGGCGGAGGTGGAGATGAACTGTGTCTAAAACTATCAATTGATGCAGGGGGTTGGTTTGGCAATTGTCCCATTGGATATCCGGGCATTCCGGCTACATTGGGTGCTGGCTCATCGATCATAATAGGCATCTGTGGTTGACTGAGAACTTTATTCAACATGATACCAGCTCCTTCGATCAAGGCAAGCAATATGCCACCAAAAATTGCTGCTCTGGAAGCAGCACCGGGCCCTTGACGCATTGAGAGAAACCCTCCAGTTGCAGCACCGGCTATAATGGAGTTCCAAGGATCTTCTTTCTGTCGGACGTACACCATAGTGCAATCGAAGGTGGAAAATAGGCCGCCCCAAACGGCAAAACTACCACCGACACGAGGAGCATTCATACGCACTGCTTGAGTTCCTCCTATCAACCGAGCACCACTAGGGGAGTTATAAGTGCCTTTCAAGAAGTGGAAGGCTGCACCTCCAACAGCACCCATACCAAAAGCACCACCAATATCGTCAAGAATTCGATCGGGGCATGGCTCCCGCGAAGTTTCCGGGGTTCCCATGGTTCACAATATAGTGCCTTTACTATCAAAAACAACCCAACAAAGTTAAAAGTTCCCTACAGAATTCACCAGTCCAAAAAAATTTCTCAAATTTCCACAAACAAGAAAAACCCAAACAACAAGATGAATAAATAGCTAATCTAGTTTCATTGCAACAAGCGAACGCTATAAATCAAACAAAAATCAACATTCCAGGCATACAAATCAATAAATTAAAGAGTTTAACGTAGTCGGATTCAAATATAAAACCTTCACTAGCTAATATCAGGTAACATGATCAAAGCTACAACACTAAAAGACATAATCAATAGCAGATAAAACCCTAGAAAAATTATAGTATCCAGATGTTAAACAATCAATTTCTAATGCAAACCATAAAATATTTGGGGAAAGGAAAAGCAAAGGCAATGAACTTATAGTTTTGCATGAATGAAACCATCGATTTCTCTTTTTACCTCGACGGCTATCTGCAACCAAACTCTGAGGTCCGGAGAAGGAAAAGGGGATTTGTTTATGTAAATTTTGACTATTTATGAGACAGACGAAAAAGGCGAAGAAACATCAGGCAAACCCTTTTGGGAAAGCAAAGAAATTTGGGTTTGGGGTATTGGGTTGGGTTCACCGTTTCTATTTGATTTATAAGCGGCTCCATGAGTGATCTTTGAGTTTGGGCTTTTATGTCGGTGTTAGCTTCTGAGGTCTCTAGTTCTCCAACAATTTTATTTTAGGTCAAATTCTTTAATTAGTTTATATCATACATAAATTTTAAACTATTTTTATATTTAATTTGATTAAATTAATTATTATGTGTTTTTTTAAAATTTTATTTTGAAAAATGCAAAAGCAAATTCTAGTTAGCCTTATCCTAAGGCTTTAGGCACATGGATTCACAAGCAGGAGCGCTTTGTTGTTCATTTTATTTGATAATGTAAACTTTACGCCTACATTCCTACGTGGATATATATGTTTAGGCATGTTAACCAACTGAATCTTCAGCAAACCGTTTGATGAGAAGTTTATTTACGTTTGTTTATTTATTAAACGAACGAACATGAATAAGATTTTATATTTGTTTAATTAAATGAATGAACACGAACATATGTCTCGTTCGTTCATTTACATTGTGAACTTTCAGTAATCCGTTCATTCATTTATGTTTGTGTATGTTCGTCATTTATGTCCATGTATGTTCGTTTATGTTCGTTCGTTTATATTTAACCCAATCTCCATATCCATTTAAAATATTAAGATTCAATCATTAATATTTTAAAACCCAATAATTTTAAACTTAAATCAATTAAAGAAAATATAAACCATACCCATTTAAAACCCAAATAATTTTAACTTTGAAGTTGTATGTTACATTAATAAATAATGAATTTTATACGGTTATTGTTTCTTACGTTCGTTTACATTCATTTATTGTGTTCGATTATGTTCATTTGTTATGTTTGTGCAATTTCATTTATATTTGTTTATTTCATTTATTGTGTTCGTTTACATTCGTTTTTTGTGTTCGTTTATAATCGTTTACACTTGTTCATTTATATATCTTGTCAACATCTCATTACAAGTTGTGCACGATATACAAAATTTGATTTTGTCTCCAAGCAATTAATCTTTCTACATGTTTAGATATTCGAACGTTAATATTTGATGATTATATTAAATCATGAGTTGAATTAAATCAAATCTAATCCTTAAATAAAAGAAAAACTATCTTAATATGGCACATGAAAGACCATTATGTATTTAGTGGTCACATTAGCTCAAGATTTTATGGACGGGGAGAGTACTCGATTGGGTTGTCAAATATTATGGACCAGGCAGCTAGGTAGAGCGGAGATAAATGTTCAAAGTCCATAACATATCGCACAAAGCTTTATAGATTAGTGTTAAGCAGCTTAATATCACTTAAGGGTTGTTTTGTTTACTTCAGAATGATTAAGTGCTGAATGAATTAAGTGCTGAATGATTCAGAGACTCTAAATGAATTAACTCTGAATGTGACATACTATTTGTTTACTGGCTCTAAATAATTCAGAATGTATTTCTGTACTGAATCATTCATCATTGTTTTGTTGAATTAATCAGCACTGAATCATTCAAATGTGCAAAACAAACGCGCTGAATGCTGAACAATTCAACATTCAACGCTGAATGATTCTATTAAGAGGTAAATAAACAGCTCCTTAGACAAGGGTTTTTTTTTGCTTGTGGAGCCCTAACATTTGCCATTTTCACTTTAAGAGAGCCATTTTCGACCTCTTTTTTTATTTTGAACTTTATTCCTCCCTTTTCTTCTCTTTATTCATCGATATTTATACAAGTTTTATACGATTTGGAAGTACGCAGACGAGAACAACAGGATCAAAAGCTGCAGGAAATATAAAGTGGTAGACTATTGCCACTATTATTGATAACATTTAGATATTCAAGAGACTTGTATATCTGCATCGACTCATGCCGTTTGAGAAACTGCAGCTTGTCCCACCATCTGAATCAAATCCATGACAAAACAATATTTGAAATCAATTTTAGTGCTAAATTAATTACAAATTATAATATAATGGAAACGGAATGGGTCAGAAATGGGAGACCTGAAGATAAACTTCCAGCTTCCTCCTTAGGATCGCGTACTCTTGCTTCACTTGTTGAAAACTCCTAATGCAGCTGTAAAATCAAGACATTGAGTTCACTTTAGTCCCCCTGTTATAGATCATGGGCTATATTTGCTAGACATTTATTTATTAAATATTTATGTTCAATACATATTCGAATATAAATATTTTAGTATAATATTAATACTTGGGACGGCCAACTGCCGATTAAGTAGCAAGCCAACTGGCACTTGCCAGAAAGGACTCAAGTAACCAAAGGTTGCGGATAGAGACAGGTGCATGGTTTTATGTTAAGAGACGAACTTATCAAATTTTAAGGGGACGATAACAGATTATCATATTTTAAATCTTCAGGGCAGGGCAACCGCCGCCAACTCCCTTCAGTCCATCTCCCTGGCTGCGGGCCGAACAAACTGGGGAGACTAGAATGCCAATATCGTTAGTCGGGCAGCCAACGAGCATGCACGGAGCATTCTCAAGTCAAAGACTAGGTATGAATATACCAAGTACGACCCCTATACTCATGTCCTTGTACTTAAAGCTCTTGCTTCTTTATCCCACCGATACCTCTTACCTCATGTTTATTTTACAGGAACCTAACCTTTCCAAGCCCAACTCACCTTCCTCGAGGAATAGTTACAAACCCAAACTACCACAAAAAAGAATCAACAAATAGATTGACGAGTCTTTTGATATATGTGCTAATGGAATTAATTGATGAAAGGAAAAGGAAGTAGACATGAAATTTACCCTTCAGCATTTTCTGCACTGCAGTGTTCTCTGAAAACAGTGCATTCATTCGTCACCTTTTTAGCTCCAATGCTTCAAGAAAATTGCCAAAAAAGAAAGGTTAAGTAACTCAGATTAACATCAATTCAAGTTTAATATTTTTTAAACAAATTAATATCGGTTTCTTAGAGATAGTTACCTAGAGCTGCTTCCCTTGAATTGGTGCATGTAGTCATCCAGTTTATTGAAGTCAATAGGCCTACTGTTCCTGCATGCATGGATTAATCATAGTGAGAAACTTTAATTAGCAGCCGCAATTTATATTAATGACAGTAACGCGTAAATCACATTGATGATTAATAATGAGAATATATGTTGTTGTTCTCCTTACAGTGCATGTTCGATGTTCTGAATCAACCTTGCCGAATCACTGTAAAATAGTGTGACAATTTCTTGTACAAAATTGGGGTTGGCATCGTCCTGCAATTCCTCCAGCTGGATGAATGGCTCGTCTAGATAACCCTACAAACAAGGGATCAAATAGCAAATTTTACTTCATTTAAACATTAAAAAAGATATTACTCAAAATAATAATTTCGAACTATGAATATAAACATTAGTAAATAGTTAGAATTCATGATCATATATGGAGAGAGACCTGATCAAAGAGGGACCTTCTCATGCAGGCAACTTGGTGTTGCAAGCGATTCCTATCCATCCTTGTTTTTTTTTTTTTTGTAAACACAACAGGGGGAAAATATCTGATATGTCAATGATTGGTAGCTCAAGGCCATGTCTATGCCTGGGTATTTATAGTATACGGCTACTCCCTTTTGTAGAGAAAAAGAGGAAGAATAATTGGCCTAAAATGACAAAAGGGAGAATCAAAGGAAATGTTTACGTGTCGAACGATTATCGAATTGGTATATCCATTTAGATTTTTATTTCCTTTATTAAAATAAGATTTTTTTTTTTATGAAATGGAGATATTATCTTTCATTTTTACTATACTAGCCAGACTAACCCTTGAGGGTAACGTTATTTAGACTTATAATAAAATTTTGTGTGAATTACATTCTCTTCCTACAAGAATGTGACCATTGGCAAAACAAACACAAGCGAGAAAATTAATTTTGGCAATTTCCCCCCTTGGATTCTTTATGAATTGACAACTCCTACTAAAGCTAAACACCTTTTGATACAGGGGACGGGGCTAACCAAAATTGCAGTATCTGAGAACCATGTTGACATTATATTCAATCCCAGCTGTCGAACGTCACTGGGAAAACCTTCCCCAAAGGTTTCATTATAGGAGAAAATATATTTAAATCCCGTAATAAAATTTGAGATTTAATCTTTATATTTAAATGGTTAAATGGGAACCTATTAAGTGACTTAGATGGTAAAAAAGAGTGTTATTCTTCCTAAAGGTCTCGGATTCGAACAACTACGTCTATAAGATGAGTGTGCATCCATTGTCGATTGACAGAAAATACTGACGGTATTAAAGATTTGATTAGAAATTTTGAATTGAAAAATAAGAGAAGTCATTTTTCAACTTTAAGTATAGAGATTAAATCTCATTTTTTGGGTTAAAATATAGGGGTTAGCGACATACTCTGACCTATAATATAACATGTCCACCGTCAAAAACCAATACCAGATTCGGTAAGACACAAGGTATTTATTAGGACTTACAAGTCATTGGTTAGAAGCATCAAGCATCCTCCGACCCATTGGTCAAATTCATAAACCAATTGCATATTGCTCCTTCAAGTAATATGAGGACCACAAGGTCGATTATTCGAACTATTCAACTAACTAAGCATTTAGGTATGCACTCAAAAAACTATAACTCTTGTGAAGAACTCAAAGCTCTAGATAATCCCATTATTACTATAAGTTCAAAACTCGAAACATGGAAACGCATGGCAGTTCCTAACTATTAAGTAGGTAAAGTATAACATGCGAATAATTCGTGTCACTTATAGAAAAGATGATTCTTAATCTCTACAACTTTTAAGGGCACTGGTTCAGATAAATCTTTCAGAGTGAGCTAAATGTACAGTCAGATAGATAATAGTAAAGAAATATTAATCAATATTGACCTAGCAACTATATGTGCAATATGTTTACAAAAGTTACAGCCTTCAACAAATCCTTAGTCTGTGAACAGTTGCCGTCAAATTGGATACGGTTACAAATACTACAGTTTATTATAAGCATAAAGCACCTATGGCAATGAGTTGTATTACCAAAACTATGATTTCCTACAGCCTTGACCTTAGTTTGTTTTAATAGTTAATAGGATTGTTCTGAGTGGAAACGCTTGTAACAAGAGAAAATTAAAATACCAGAAGGATGCAGAAAGGATCACGATTCATGAGGCAACCTAAAGAGGGAAATAGAAAGACCGAGATTATGTTGATGATTGGAATGAGAACGTTACCTTTACAGTGAGTATACATTGGTCCTTGTCTCGTATCTCTGTCCGTCCCTCCTGTGAAACTGTCTGCAAAAAGTTAAAGAAGAAGAGTTGAGAAGGATGCCTCCTTTATTCCTTTGCCACCCATTGAAGAGATAGTGGGAGAGAAAGAGGATAGAAGGGTATTTTACATGGCCATTTTCCTCTCTGTCTCTCTCAGACGGTCTTTTATAGATGCTTGATCACATCTTCTCCTTCGTTAAAGAAAATGCTGAGGACACGTGGAATTGGATGAGAATATGGATTGTTGATTTTGACTTTCACTGGGAGGATCAATATTCGCTTTTCTGTCATCGGTTCCTATGCTGATAAGAATCTCACCATGGACATGATAAACACTACATGCAATGACAGGTTTGCTTCTAGCAAAGATGGAGCTTCCAAAGCACAATTCTCAAAAACCCAAATTCTGAAGTTTCTGAACTTAGCCAAGACTTAATCTATACTAGTTCTGAAAAGCTAGATGAACCTTTATATATTTAATCCCATTCAAATCATTTAGGGTAAATATACTTGGAACGACTCGGGAAACTTCAGAGGGTACTTTCTAAGTTGTCTAACCAAAGCATACAATGGTAACTTAATCACAGCAACCACTTGAAACTAAAATTCACCTCGACGACAAAAGCACGCTTGTTTTGCACTAAAATAATCAGTGGTAACTTAACCAGCAGTTCAGCAAGTTTCATTAGCTGAAGTCAGAAAAGGATTTCTCAATAATAGAAGAAAAATGACAGTTTATAGAAGATTGGTATTTGCTTCCACTCAAAAAGAGTTCAAATTTTAATTAGGCTCGTTGTGTTTTATCTAAATAAATTTGTCTTGGGAAAAAAGCAATAAAGCCCCAACTTTAAACAACATTAAGGGAAATAAATAGCACTTGTCTGGAAAGGAGAGGTAGAGGAAACCTCATCAAACAAAATGTGGGCCTCCAAAAAAGTAGCCCTTTCACTCATTTAGAACATTTCAACGGGTATATTCCCCAAAAATATGGTGGGCGATGATGCATCATCTAAAAGTCACGTTAAGGTTTGTATACAAATCACTTTACTCATCTTTGCAAGAATCTCATTGCCTGGTAGACATTATTGAGAGTAGCATCAGCTATGTCTGCAGCTTTAGTATCCCCTTCTGCCAAAACTCAGTCCAAATAAGTTGGATCAGAAATAATTTCTTCATAACGAACCTGCAAAAGTTGAAAACCTCACTAATGATGGGGACACCTCAGTGGATGATAAGCCGATAGCATCAACCAAATGATTGGGCCAAATGTGATCAAGACATTGGCTGAAAACAGCTTCGTACACATCAAGCAAAAAAAATCTCCATGCATCTAGAAATTATTTATGAAAAGAACCACATCCATCACTAAAGTCAAACATGGAATCTAATCAAAACATTGGCACCAATCAACGCTTCGTATAACTAGATTTTATTTTTAGGTTTGTTAGACTGCCTAGACTAAAGTAGAATCTTCTTAACAATTGTCAGTAATCATTTAATAAAATGTTTGACTTCTAAGATTGACCAAACAGTTGACATTAGATAGCCAGGACACACTAAATCTCACACATCAAGAAGGCTTCTACTGCTAAATTGCAGTGGAACCCCCCTACACTCAGCTTAGGAGTTACAACTGAATCAAAGTGACCATGTTAATCACTTATATGATCGACAAACGATTTTTTAATAAGTGGTTTTGAAAATGTTTACCGAATATAAAATCAGAAATAAACTCATGCCATATTTTTATAAGGCTGAAAAGTAAATATTAAACCGCATACAGTGTATAATCGAGACCATACTTTTGATAGCCAAACTGGTCCTATATCTGGAAAATCTGAAAAAGAAAGACAGAAATAGAGCGAGCTACAAGGCTCAATGTGTCCTCTAAAATTTCAAGCATAAAATAATAAACAAAATAATATTCGATCAATATTAGCTATTAGCTGACCCTATTCCCATATATAATGGGGTGAGGGGGAGGTAAGGTAGTAGGTTGCCCCCAACGGGTTGAGAGCAGCTTCCGTGGAAGACCTCCGGCAATCAGAATTATGAATTGCCCACCGTAGGACTCGATCCCACGACCACAAGGTTAAGAGCCTTGCGCTCTAAAGGATGAGGGGTGCAACACGAGGACTTCCCAGGAGGTCACCCAACCTTACATTTCGTTCCGAATCAACAGAATATGCACATTACCTTACAATAAGACATCGAAAACTGAATACCAAAATCAGAATGAGAATTTAGCCCTCATATGAGGATCCCAAACAAAGTCGGGACGGAGATATAATCTCATGCAGATGTAAGAACGGGGAACTAATCTCATGCAGATGTCAGAATGGGGAATTAATCCCATGTAGATGTCAGAACGGGGGTATTAATCTCATGCAGATGTTAGAATGGGGAATTAATCCCATGCAGATGTCAGAACGGGGAACGAGGTCCCATGCACAATCAGGATGGGGATTATGCACTCCATAGAGGATCCCATGCATATACCATAAATGCATCAACATGCAAATTAATGATGATACAATATTCAGAAGTCAAATATGTCGCATATATATAAATATATATATAATCAGATCACAAACATTAAAAGTTTCACAAGATTAGCAATCACATTCTATCTTTTACTCAATTCAGAACAAGCTTATATTTACCATCACAATGCTTTTGGGAATTTAAGTAAGAAATAAAAAGTTAACCCCATTTGAAATCTATGATCCGCTTAGTCTGGAATGCTATAAATTATTTATCATCTTAAAACTGATACAATTATATGTGAGCAAAAAATCTTCCTTAAAATTCATTCTTCAATAGAATTCAACTTTAATTCCATTCCAAGCTAACCATAAGCAAAAGTTATTACAAATTAGCAAATCGCAGTCCAGCTTCGTAACAATTAAGAACAAGCTTGAAGTTCATTCTCTAATGTAATGAATTCAACTTTAATCTGGTTCCAAACAGGCCATAAGCAAAGTTAATCCATATTAGCAATCAGATTTTGGCCATTTTAACTCTTATATTCATTTAGTCTAGAATGCAACAAAACCATTATCTAAAAAAATCCATAAAATCACACGTGAGCAAATCTCCCATAAAATTCATTCTCTAACGCAATGAATTCAACTTTAATCTAGGTTAACAATCACATTCTGGCTTTTCAACAATTCAGAACAAGCTTATGTTTACCATTACGTTGACGATAAAACAAAATACTAAATCCTAAAGATCCATTTCACTAACTCTATTTGAAATAAGATGAGGAAAGAAGTATAAAAAATGGGATTACCTGACCGAGGTGGAAGAAGTCCCGGGAACAGCTTGCTGCGAGAGCGAGGCAGTGCAGCGGCAACGGAAACCAGCGCCATTGTCTCCAATTATAGCACGGTTATTACGGATGAATCCAGGCCGTTTCATGTATTTACTTCCAAGTCCACCACACGACCTGATTTAGTACAAACGCCAAAACAAGAATGTAAACATGAGAAAATAAATAAAAATACAAAAAAAAAAAACTATGGATCTAACCATGAAGAGAGAAGAAGAGAGTACATACACTGACGATGAGAGGCGGTGAGATGAATTGGAAAGGATGAGAAGTTGAGAGAGAACTGTACGCCCCATATTTTCTCCTTGTTGTTTAAAAAAAATTGTTTTGGGAAAAAGGATTTATCCAGCAAAAACGAGCGTGAAACCAAACCGCGCGATGAGAGCTGTGTGAAGAGATTGGCCCGTTCAGTTACGTGCTGTTTCTTTGGCGGCCTTAGGATTATTTTTCATTAAATATACATTTTGGGACGTGAATTTGGCTTTAACTAGCAATTTAGTACTTAAAAACTTTTTTAGGCTCAATTCGGCACTTGAATATCACTTTCAGATTCAAACTAGTTTGAATTTAATTCTCTAATTAAAATAATTCATGTATAGTAAGTACCAATTTAAATTAAAAAGTAAAATTTAAATATACATTTGAATAAAAATCAAATTAGATACCTAATTAGATAAATAAATTATAATTACAAAATTGAACCTTAAAATAATTCATGGTTAATATAGTTCATTTAGATCAAAAAACAAACAAGAACTAATTTAGTACTTAAAAACTTTTTTAGGTCCAATTAGAAACATGAAATTCGCTTTTAGACTCAAATCAACATTTGAACTTGATTCATAGTTAAAATAATTCATTTATTATAAATACCAATTTAGATCAAAAGGTGAAGTTCAAATATCAATTTGAATAGAAAAATCAAGTTTAGGTATCTAATTGGAGAAAAAATTTATAGTTATCAATTTAAACCTTAAAATGGTTCATTTATCCCAAGTACCAATTAAAACTAAAAAATGAAGTTCAGGTATCAATTTGAATATGAAAATCAAACTCAAATACCTAATTGGATAAAAAAAAAAAACTATAGCTACCGAAATTAACTTTTAATTCAAGTTCATATTTTTAATTGAACAGAAAAGGTGTTTTGGTATCAAATTGCATCCTAAAACTAAGTTTAGGTACTAAATATTTATTTACCTTTTAATTTTCTTGGACCTCGTTGCACACTTTTTTTAGGAAAATTATACATTTAGTACCTAAATTATTAATTTTGGTTTATTTTAGTACTTAAACTTTTATTTTTTTCAAAATCATACTTCACTTTTAGTTTTTGTTTCATTTTAGTACCTTGTCGTTAAAAACTTAATGGTCATGGCACATTTTTATGGGTAAATTGCATTATTCATCATTCAACTATATTCCCACTCTTATTTTGATCACTAAAGTTTACTTTTTTTTTATTTTATTACTTAGCTTTCAAATTATTCCGAATTACTCTAACTTTCAAACTTTTTTTAATTATATAAAAATAATAATAAAAATGTTATGTCACAAAAATAATTAATAAAATAAATTAGAGTGATTAAAATATGAGCAATTTGAAAGTTGAATAGTTAAGTTGAAATTTTTTAAACTTTAGTATCAAAATACGAGTGAGAAGATAATTGAGGGATGAATGATGTAGTTTACCCATAGAAAAAGCAGTGGCCTCAAGTTTTTAATGCGTGATAATAAAATGAAACAAAAACTAAACGTTGAGTATTATTTTTATAAAATTAAAAGTTTAGATACTTAAACGGATTAAAATTAATTATTTAGGTACTAAATACGTAATTTACCCAAGTATCAAGGTAAACAAATCAGTTTAATGATGGGAGAAAACTTGTGATTCATTTCAAAGCATAACAGAACTCTCGCAAAATTTATTAATGGAATGAAAAACAATAAATAGACCGTAATACAATATTTAAGCCATTACAAGAGCAAAACACAAAACGAAGCTTATGCTAGCAAATCGCTGACAAACAAAACACGTGACGGCTCTACTTCAATTTCAAGTCTCAACGGTAGGTTCTGTATCGTGGGCCTCTCGGCATACTTAACCAGATCCTTAGGCTGAGGCAGGTGAGAAGCCAGACCTACAACAAACAATCAAACAACACATTAATGAATGGATTAACATATAGAGGGTAATGATTTTAAGAGCTTAAACAAATTGTATAAAAGTATCACTCACCAAGTTCATATGCCATGGCAGCGACCTTAGCAGCTATGTTGGCTGATATCTTTCTGATATCGGAGAATGGCGGGTAAATCATTCCCTTCTCGTAGTGTTCCTCCGTCACTTGTGCAGCCAAAGCTTCGGCTGCGTTACAGAAAAAAGGGAGTACCGTTAGGGTCCGGTCGGTCGAGTTTACGATACAAACTAGGAGGGATTGCACCAGAATTGCACTTACAGGCTGCTAAAAGCATGTCGTCGTGAACACGAATCGCGCCGGAAATAATGACACCCAACCCGAATCCGGGGAAGATGTGAGCATTGTTTGCCTGAAATGACATCAAACAAGTAGACAACAACTAGTGTAAGAAAAATCTGGGTGCAAGCAAACTTCAAACTTGAAAAATAGTTTTGAGGTTTGATGATTGAACCTGGCCAGGCACGAAGACTTTGCCATTGTATTCGAAGGTGTCAAATGGCTTCCACTGGCAAAGATTGTACGACCCTGCAAATAAAAAAAATGAAAAAAAAGGTAAATATTGTATGAAGAAAGACTACTTTTACCTGATATTTTACTACATTGAATGTCATATATATATATATATATATATATGTATACCTTGGTCCATGTGTATGCTTCTTCTGCTGTATATTCCGCTTGTGAGGTAGGGTTAGACAGAGCCATGACAAGAGGTTTCTGCAAGTTTAAATCAACCATTACGATTAGTGCAAAGGTCTTTGTTCGAGACCGACATGGCGTGGACATGCATAGAGAGATAATGAACCTCATTCAAGGATGCCATGGCCTCAACAACCTCCTTGATGAATTGTTTTCCAGCACCAGATTTTCCAATCAGGATAGTTGGCTTGATTGCCTGATTAATCAATACACATGTAAGAAGGAAGGAAAGCACACGTATGTTTTTCGAGTTTTGGTGGATGATTCAAGACAAGATATACACACCTTGACAGCATCTAAGAGTGTGTTGACTGGTTCATGTTCATGAGCCCAAGGTTTCTTGAAGTGCTGAAGCTACTCCTTGCGAGGGTCGACAATCAATCCCTTTGAGTCTACGAGCCAAATCTTCTTGCGGTTCTCTTCGATCGGGTTTCCAGTCTGTCAAGAAAAAGTACATTAAGCCATGAACCTTTTTCCAAGGAAACAAATATATTCCATTAGGGCTCTTGGCTCATTAACACATTAAAAATAACCAGCTCACTTGAAAATAGAAAGCCCATACTTTTCTGGTAAACCTGGCCTTACTTAAGAAATCTAGTATTTTATCCCATTAGATCAACCGATTGTTAGTTATCAACTTTGATTATTATCAAGTTGCTTGATATTTGAATTTGATGTTGGGAATTCAAGTGGCACAAATCCTTTATCCCTAAATGAATTCAATGTATTCCATTAGGACTCTTGGCTCATTAACACATAACCAGCTCACTTGATAATAGAAAGCCGATACTTTTCTGGTAAATTACTTCTATAACTATTAAATTATGGAGTGGATTATATTTTGACCACTAAAAAATATTAATTAAATCATTAAAGTTTAAATTTAATTTAATTTAAATCGGGGTCCTAAACTTTTGAATATTTCAAATTCATACGAAAATATGAATTATTATTATTTTTAGAAATCTTAGGTTTAAATATCAACGACTACAAGGGTGATTAAACGTTCATTATCAAATGATTAAAAATACTTAGAACATATATATTTATTACAAATAATTATAAATAAAACATTTATCAACGATAGAAGAAAGAATACATCAAACCACAAAACCTAATAAATATATATAATTGTGCGGATACAATAAACTTAGTTGAATAAATCTATACATTTATGTTGAGTTTATTTCTTCATTAAACATTTTAGACCTAACTAAATATAATTTGAATCACAAACCCTAACACAAAATAAAACTGTTTCCCAATGTCATGAAAAATCTATGCTCCTCTCTCTCTCTCTCTCTCTCTTGTTGATTGCAACTTGCAGGTTAAATATTTTGTGCAGTCCATGTTCTTTTTCCCAAAAGTTTATACTGAAAATTACGTCTATATATAAGTTAAATCTCTATCCTCTTTTCCCATTTCACTTCTCCCTTAGCTTATTAATCCAGCCATAGCACCGAATATGGAAACCAAAAACGCTACTGTCAGCAAGCCTCGACGTCTTTCAATGGAGGGTCTCCGGAGAACGATATCCGACATATCGTTGGAGCTGAGCAAAGAAACCATCGACGCGGCGGCACAGCAGCTTCCGCGCATATCGGAAGTGGAGGACGCCAGCTGCGAGTGCTGCGGCTTGTACGAGGAGTGCACTCCCGACTACATCAACCAAGTTCGAGACAAGTTCTCGGGGAAACTGGTGTGCGGGCTCTGCGCCGAGGCTATCAACGAAGAGACGCAGAAAAACGGGGGAAAAAGGAAGAAGCTTTGAAAGACCATATGAGTGCTTGCTTGAGGTTCAATCGGTTCGATCGGACTCACCCCGTGCTGTACCAAGCCGAGGCCATGAGACAAATCTTGAAGAAGAGCTCGGGAATTCGGGCTAAGTCGATGAGTCCTAGAGACCGAAGTGGTCCGAACAAGGGTGCTATCGCCAGGAGCTCGAGTTGTATGTCGGCTATCGCCGAGGGGATTGGTGACCGGGTGTAACCACCATTTTTTTATTTTTTTTATCATTATTTTATTATTTTATAAAAAATGTTAAAAAAATGTATTAGTTGGGGGTTATAATAACCCCAACAGCTATGTACCAGGATCCGCCCTTTTCTCGGAAAATCTGGAAAATAGAAGGTGACATTTTTTTTACTCCATTTTCTTTGGCTCCATTTCTCTATCTTTTTCTTTCCTTTTCTCGGGTGAACTGCAAAGAATAGGGAGTGGCCACCGTTGATCGGTTGCCGGCGAGAAAGAATAATAGTGATCACATATTAGGATATCGCGGAGGGGATTGGTGACCAGGCAACGGTGAATTAAGAATCATGTATGTCGAATGATTCTTACGTTTAAACATATTAGGATTTGAACTCAAATCTTAAAATTTAATATTCGACACGAAAGAAGATCTGTAACTAGTTTCTTTCAGTTGTGCTTG